GATTTAGACCACCGTTATGTACAGGCTGGTCTAAAAAATGACACCAAACGTCTATTTCTTTTAAAAGCTAGAAAAGTCATCACATAATACAAATGTTGAATTTCCAAAATGTTATCTTAAGCCGTTTAGAATTATAGAGGATGCCTGGTCATCATTGTTACAAACATTTGGTAGTGTAAGTTCGAAGTAAATGAAGTGTGATGATGCATATAAGAGGTTTCAAGTGTAAAAATTGGCTTTCCAAAGAATTATTTTTATATGTTCTAAAATAACCATGTTTTTAAACACAATACAGCAATTCCTCAATTACCTGCAAACGGATTTGGGGTAGCGGATTTCTACCCCCGGATATTTACCCCCATGAAAAAACGCCTACGTCATTTTGACGTCACGAGGGGCGGGGCCTATAAACGGTCGAGAAACTGCCCGCGACTGGAAATTTACCCCCAATATAATATTAAATAATCAACATGTAATTGTTTGATTATAAAGTGATTTGCCATAGCACGGAAATCTACCCCCGGACATTTACCCCCGGATATCTACCCCCAGACATTTACCCCCGGATATCTACCCCCGGACATCTACCCCCGGATATCTACCCCCGGAAATCTACCCCCGGACATCTACCCCCAGACATCTACCCCCGGACATCTACCCCCAGTGGTTAAATCATAAATATCTGACCCCGGAATTCTATCCTCGGAAATCAACGGCTCTTCGGTTAATCATTGTCTTGCAATATCCAGTATAAAGCATGCGATACGTCATTGTCTTGTTTAACATTATCTATCTTCCTAATTTAATAAGCTGTAACAGTCCTTTTTCACCCGACCTACTTCGCCGATTGTTACGATTGAGGTGTCATTTTAAAGCTTAAGATCTTGCGCAGAGCAAAATGGTAATTAAAAAGGATATTTTGATTAGGGCTTCAAAAGGTTGACCCCTAAGCCTTTCATGTTAATTTTCTATTAGAAAGACTTTAAAAAAGCGTTAAAAACTATCTTTTTGATTGAATATCCACCATTTTTAATTTTTCAACTTTTCATCTTTCACAGCTGTTCATTATTTCATAGATGTCGTATTCTACAAACTAATTATTAGTATTTCATAAATTACTGGTAAACATTAGGAGTAAACTAGACAAAAATGCAAAAAATTGGGGTTTTGAACAAAATTTATTTTAATTCAAAAGTAGTGAGGCCATATTTTAATGGCTTAAGAGACTCGTGTCAATCCACCGAATCCAAAAAGACTATTTAAATCGAATCACGATCGATGCTCTAGTTTTTGAGGAGAAGGCCACGTAAAATGCCTTCTGGGCCTTGACAGACAAAGCAGAAATTGAGATAAAGACTTGTTTTGGCGTCTTTAATGTGTGAAATGTAAAAAGGACCAAAAAATATATAATTTTGAGCAATGTTCGTACTAAACTCTAATTTCAATTACATAAATTCGTAAACCCAAAAGAACCATGAGGTAAAAATACCTTCCCTATCCCGAAATATCCAATTTTATTCTTTTTTATTTCTTTTAATTTTATTTTATTCTTATATTATTCTCCGTTATTTTACAACCAGCATTGACAACCAAAACCAATCATAAAATATGTTTATGTTTCATTTTTACCATTGATTATTTGTGTAAGCAACTAGACTTTTTGGTCAATGTAAAACTCCGGATAGTGTCTACGACATAGGGATTATGCTATTTCGTATTACTAGAAGGTAATTGATAGTGAAAAATTATTAATTCATTAATCAACCTGTGGCAGGCTTTTTATCAACAATTAATTGCATTTTTACCACTAGTAATCAGGAAATAACCTCCTTCAGTGTTATGTTTAAAATTTCACGATCTGCGCTCGTTCATGTGCTGTTAGCTATTAGTGTATGTGAAAATTGGTCAACCATTTAAATCACTGTCTGAAAATAAATCAAATGCTTATGGGTTCAACTTTTGAAGCCCTTTATCAAAATATCCTTTTAATTACCATTTGCGTTGCATTGAATCTTAAGTTTAAAAATTACACCTAAATCAGTAACAGCTTAATGAATTGGGAAGATAGATGACATTAAACAAGACAACGACATATCACATGCTTAATACTAGATATTAGAGTGTAATTATTAAACGAAGAGCCATTGATTATTTTTATAAGCCAATTACTAAAATCAACTACAACAATGAATATTGGCCGATACGTAGTGTAGCACGGGGGGTTGATTTCCGGGGGTAGAATTCCGGGGTCGGACATTTATGATTTGACCACTGGGGGTAGATATCCGGGGGTAGATGTCCGGGGGTAGATGTCCGGGGGTAGATGTCTGGGGGTAGAATTCCGGGGGTAAAGTTCCGGTGTCAGGTTTATTATCATTTTGATTAATTACAACTGTTAAGTAAACCGTGAAATGCGAGTTGATTGAATAAATAATAATTTATCCATCCTAAAAGTTCGCGGCCGGAAATTTACCCCCATTCATGTGACGTCAAAGTGACGTAGGCGTTTTTTCATGGGGGTAAATATCCGGGGGTAGAAATCCGGCGACCCACGGATTTAAGTAGATGGTGACTTTTTTCGTGTTCTACATTAAATTTTGAATACAAATCATTGAAAATGTTGAAATGTTGATAAGGATCAAAAATAAAAACTACAATGTTAATAGTATCAAAGATTAAAATGTTGGTCTTTTATTACGTTTGCCCCACCGCAGCAATCCTGCCAACTAAGCAAATTTCCATTTGTCTGAATTCATTTTCAATTAAATCAATTTAAATAACATTAGGTTTAAAGAGTACCTAGGTTTGCTACTACAATGAAACTAATAAAATTTGGGTTTTAGTAAAATATCGATAGCTTAGTATAATAGTATATTTCGTACCTACGGCCGAAAATGAGGTTTTTCCGGCTCTCGATAGTTCTTAAGTTCGAGACGAAGTCAAGAACTTAAAACGATCGATAGCTGCAAAACCATTTCGGTCCGTGGTACGAACGCTATTTCACCACACTATACCCTATAGTCAACACAACTACAACTTTAAGGTTATGTAAAGATATAATTTGAGGAATCAGAGAAAAAAATAGTTGCTAGGCAACGGTGACAATAAAACAATTCTATTGCAATGCTATGGGTACTGATTGTGTATTTAATATGCATTCATGTTTTAAGAAAACAGCTGAATTTGCTACACAAAAGGTATATTACTGAGTTTTAAAGTACTGGTAAATAGCCCACCAGTGTCAAAAAGTACAGAGGTTTTTACTTATTTCTTTCAAGCAAAGCTTATGCATAATCTCCAAGTCCCATGTTTATTTCTTCCGTGATTCTTTTCAAAAACGTCTGTGAGTTCTCTTTGTACATTATTTTATACCTATTTCATCATCCATTTCCATGCAGTAGGTAGATCTAATAAAGCACTGAGTATTACGTTTATTTAATCAAGTATAGGTTTGCAATATAATAATGGAAGTGAAATACTTTTCCTGAAAAGTTAATTTTACTAACAGTTAAAAACCATGACCATGGGCAGCCATGTTGGTTACAAAAATGGCGATACAATCTTGTGAAGAATCGTAGCTTCTTATGTAAACAATTAATTGTAGCTTTTGAATAATTTTTGGATAAATAATTGAATAGCTTATGTATATGGTTACCAATGTATGTAATGGGTAAATGATGATTATTCCTGAGCAGAGCTCAGTATATAATTTATTTTAGTACAAATATCAAAGTCACGTTTACTTTTAATCAACGTAGAATCTGGATAGGTAATGTTATATTTGGGCGTTCCATTGACTTCGACTATAGGCATATACGGAAAGTAAATAAAAGATACGTCTTTTAACATTTAAAACATATATTCACGCTTATACTGTTACTCACAAGATGGTAAATATACAAAAAAGATGGTAAGTGGTTTGTATATTTACCATCTTGTGAGTAAGAGTATAAGCGTGAATATATGTTTTAAGTGTTATAAGACGTATCTTTTATTTACTTCCCGTAAATTTAATAACACGTACGATGCTGATCAATAAGTTATTTATAGGCATATCTAATTTATTTTCTCCGATAATTTTTTAAACTCATAAAATTTCAACCCAAATTAATGTTAACATAATGTTCACAAAAGCTAGCATTTTAATGCTTAGGCTTGATCTTTCAGTAGTTGTTTACAACCCTTTTAGAACATGTTTTATACAATTCACATCATTTTTTTTAATTTGTTACTAACTTCTTCATAATTAAAATAGTTTCATTCAGTTCATTGATTTTTTTTAGTATGTTGACATTTTCTTTTAAATTAAATTATAAACGTAACAATATCATAATACTATTTTATTGAATGGCAAAAATTGATATTATATGCTGTTATTGTATTTAACTTGCTAGTAACAAAATTCCCAAGCAGATCATAAAATTACCACTCACACATTGTTAACTTTTAATTACTTTTTTGGCGACATGTTAAAGGCTAAAGAATTTCTATTTTTCAGAAGTATTCACGTAATAACATTAATAAAAGACTGATTACAAAAAAAATGTATGTACAAATGCCAATGCACTTTTGTGAAATCGTTTAGTAACATCATACTATCTGCGTCCATTACTTTTAAGACTGTGCCAACCCAAGACTGTTGTTTTTACTGTATAATCCTGATTCAAAATAGTGTTAACCCTTTTACTAGAGGTTGAATAAATTTTTCACGTTGGTAACCATGCGTATCTTTTAAGGTTTCAATGTGTATGATCTAGAATTGATTGTGAGCACTAAAGTTCAACGATCTCCGTAGATGTGACAATTCTCGCGTCCCTTTCATTCATCTATTAGTTCTGAGTAAACAATATTAATAGCCAACGTGTAAATTGATACATTAAGGAAAAAAGTCGAAATCACTACAAGTGGCTTTTAAACGACTCTAGATTTGATTATGTGTTAGTGGACTAGGAGGGTGTATAAATAGCACGATGATCAGTTAATGAGGTAAGGTTCGCAACATGGGGTTGGCGTCTGCTCACACCCTGCGTCTGAAGGCGGCGACTTTCTTCCTTCTGTTAACCTTTCAATCAGGTAAGTCGTAGTTATAAATGTTTTTAAAGGTAGTTACGTAGTGTAAAGTTTTCAAAATATGTCCTCACCATCTTATTAAAAGTGTACCTTTGTGACTATTTAAAGAAGGATCAACTTAAATAAGTTGATCTAATTAACTAATCTTAATCTAATTGCTAAATAGCAGTAGCAAGTTTTGGAGTTAAAATAAACGTTGTTTATTTAAAATTCAACCCAAACTGAAATGACGACATGTTAAATTTCATCTTTTGTCACATCAACTAGTCCCAAAAGTAAGGGAGGATTAAAATTTTGACAGAAACTCTGTGAGGGGCGTATTCGACTACATTCTACTGTACTTGATTCAACAAATTACAACCGGTCCATTGAGATGAGATGTCTATTTTAATATCCTAAATCTACTCTTATACACTAAGGCATTATCATTGAATAGTAAAAATAGATATCACCCTATTGTAATTCTAAGCTTTTTTAAAGTTTAACTTGAACTTTATTACACTTGTCTCAATAAGCTAATGTATTTAATGTTTAATTGGATGGACTAGTTTTACAATTGGTTGAATAAAAAAAAAAATAGTAAACTAAACACTCTCAATTTATGCTTCGATCTAAATATAATGCGATTTAATTCCTATTTATAAAACTTGTTGCACACAAGGGTGTTTAGTGCGTTCTCATAATATTCTGAACATATGCAATGTATTTTGAATCCATGCAACATCTTTTCCTTCCTAGAGAAAAAAAAATATTAAATCAACCGTATGTATGCACATAAAACAAAAACCTTAAAGGGGCCAATTTTCTCATTGTGTACTTCATTGAGATTGTTAGAAAATGTCTTTTCTCTTGTCGTATTACTTTAGAAACCAAGAGGTTTACAGTGCTCTAACTTAATTTAACAAATACTTTGTTTTCACTCTTAACTAGTCAAATTCAAATAGCGTATGAAAGTTGTTTGAAATAATTTTCGGACTCGATAAACACAAAACAACCAAAATAAAATAGTTAAAATAGTTTAAATTAGTCATTTATTTGAGCTAAAGTGGGATTTCATAATCTGTGGATAAATAAATGTATTTTTGTTCTTCGGAGGTATGTATAGGGGAGTTCATAAAAACTTTTTTCACAATTTTCCCACAGTTTTTCTATCTCCTGCCAAAGTTCCTAAAAACAAACCACTTATTTTAGTTTTTTTTTTTTTACAAATTTAGATAATGTACATCATCACGGAATCCAAATTATCACACTAGCCAGCGAGTAAGAATAACTCTGGTGAAAGCGTTATATTGCTAACTATTTGTCGTACGCAAAATAGGTTTTCGCGAAATTTATTGCAATTGATAACGCAGCAAATATTTCTGCCTAACCGAAACGTGTATCCTGGTTCCGAAGATAACTAGAATGAGTATAAGAATAAACTGGGTGGTCCTAATGGATGGTTCTGTTTCCTTCTAGCCATCAGTCTTTTTACTGATTCATCAACACAACAAACATTTAGCAGATTTTCTAACGACTTGTATAAATCGTTCTATTACGACACAACTTTATGTGTTTTATCCTATGCAATCCATCAAATTAAATCAGGGTGCTTTTAATGGGAGTATTTGTACAATACCAATTTCCACTCACCGCGGAATAAGACGTGTAAGTTCTTTATAAATACGTTGTTAGACCACCGAGGCATCTTTGGCATTATTAACAAGATTCGGATCCCAGGTTTCGGGACTGAAGTTCCGGATTCTTATAAAAAATGTTGATGAATTATTTTGTAACCTTCACTATTGCAAGTTAACAGTATACTTTATCAAAGTTTTTTATATTTCCTAAGATGTTTGTCTAAACTACATGTTTTTTTTTATCTTGTTAGTTTCGAGGGGTATGGAAATAATTTACTAAACAAAGCTTACCGGGTACTGCTCATTTTGACATGGAGAGTCCCAAGTTATCGGTATTGTTAACATTTTTGTATTGTTGAGTACAGTAATACATAAAAAATAAGTTCATTAGACTTAACTAGTTAAGTCATAGACTAACCAATATAAGTATTTTTAATCTGTAATTCGGTGTAAACGAAGATTTTAAACAACTAAAAGTAAATAGATCCCATTAACATTACCATCAACAAACCCTTCAGTATTTTCCAATTACTATTAGTTTAAATTCCCAGGAATTAGCACTTGAAAATATCCCTCTTCAACACCAGTAAAAAATTCCATTATATGAAGTACTTCATCATCTTATCGAAGTAGTCATCTTATCGAAACTAATTTTTAGGTTGAATGCTTACCAAAAGGTCACTTACGATTCAGCTTTAAAGTTTTTTGAGAAATTAGTCTTGAAACTAATATTTATACTGAGGGTAGGATTAAAGTAAATTTTTTTGGTAATTTATTAGTTAAATGCAGACGAGTGCATTTGTTTTGTTAAGACCACCCTTGTTAACACCACCTAAAATAAACGTAGCCAACATTTTATCAGTTGCCAATAAATATTTTGTTAGCCCGTAAATAATATTCAATTGAAATAAATAACATATTATCTCATTTTTAATATGTTTCGCATAAGATTGAATACCGCACTTAGCCGTGTCTTCAGTATTAGTGTGAAACAATACATACTAGATTTACCTTCAATATTACTTGAAATACCTTAAATAATTACTATTATTAAAAGTAAGTGATTAGGTTGGAGTATGAATAATTTGTTATCCTTAATTTTATAGATCCAAAGACCATAATGACCTCCATTAAAAGCCAACCACTTATTACAATAATTTACATGGAAGAACGTATAAAAGAATTAATGTATGAATACGATAAGTTTTTAAATTAAATTATCTCAATCATATTTGTCAACTAGCTGTATTTATATCTAAAAAACTATGTTTGTTGGATTTATTGAAATATTTTATTACACTGGATAGAATAATCAGTACCTATATACAACTATATACACAAATATTTACATATATACATTTTAGTTACATACAGTTTAGGAGTTTTATCATAAACTAGCTGTTACCCGTCGGCTTTGCCCGACATAATTTGTTGAGTTTTGTTATGAACCGGCTGAAGTTGTGACTTCACTACGGGCTAACATCATCTCATACATTATTTTTTTGTATAGTAACAAGTATTAAATCAATTCAAAATGTTGGCACCTAAGCTAATTAGACATAGGGACTTCATTTGAAAGATTAACTGCCTTTCTACCAAGAGCTTCGGACTGCTCCCTTTGGAAAAAAATCATAATGCTTTTTACTAAAATACTGTTCCCGTTCTATCTACTTTCACTAATACCCTTAAACCAAATTCGCCAATAGTCCAGTTAGTTTTCTGATAACCTTGTTGAACATTGTTAGATAGGCTATCATAAAGTAGAATCAAGCAACATAAAAACCTAAATTTTTTGACATAATGTCCTCTGATATATGTTAAAACATTTCATCTTGATGCTGCAAAGATAAATAGATAGAAAAATTGGTTTTGAAAGGGGCAAACATTTAAACATGATATGTATAAGATTTCTTTCTTGATAAAATCTGTTGAGAATCAGGCGAGTAGCAGGGTTGCTTCAGTTTCACCTTGTATTATTTTTTCTTTAACGAAAACTATCACTATTTTACTTTAGGTTGGCTAGTGGTAACAGTTAGAACTAAAAATAAAGTTATAGAATAGGAAATCTACAATCTTTTTGTGAATTTATGGGTTTCATTTGGTCTAGCTGCTTTACCTGTGCTTTGCAACGCGAAGAACAGCAAAATAAAGAGTTGCTCTCTGTTGTTAAACCTTGTAACTTTAAATGCTATTGATCATTATAGTAACCCAACTAAATGGTTTATTATTTGAAACTGCTGTCAATATTCATAGATTCTTTTGAAATATTAATTCAAATAAGGTAAACATGGAAAATTCCAGAGCCCCTGGGGCAGAGCTACATGGGAGTTCAAAAACAGGAATGGAACAAAAACCTTCCCGGGGGTGTATAGAACAACTCTTCAAAGTTTCATCACGCTCGGTTAGCCGGTATAAAAACGCATAGAGGACAAACTAACGACAAACTACAAACATACATTGGATTTTATGTATACAGATTTAGACAAATTAAAAATAAAATATTTTATCTAAATACGTGTAAAATAACATTTGTTTTATATAATAATACTGTAATTGTGTTACAGGCTTTGGATATCCGGTTGACAGAGCACTTCACACATACTTGGAAGGGATCATAAGAACGGATGATAAATCAAGCAGTTATAATGTAGTAGACAAAATCTCAAAACTTGTCGAAATAGCAACAAGACATAAATCAGGTTGTACATGTCCAGCACACAACATAACGGCTGCTATTTATGAGTTAGAGCGAACTAATACCGACTCAAATGAATCTATTTATAATTTGAATCAGTCATCAACCTCAGGTTTAATATCATCTAATTCTGGGTCTGGATCGGTGAATTCGAATTCAGCTTCGAGTTCAACTGCATCCTTCCCTCATAGTGCAACATCTGGATCGTCAGCATTGTCTAGTACAGGTTCATCATCCCACACAAGCCAATTGTCTAATTCCAGTTCGGGTGCGTCATCCTCAAGCTCATCGGCTGCTCATGGTGCGTCGCAATCTACATCTGGGTCTTCTGCATCGTCAATTGCAGCAGCAGCATCCCATTCGAGTCTAGCGTCTACAGCTGACTCCTCAGCATCGTCATTAAGTTCATCAGCTGCTCATAGTGTGTCACAATCAACATCTGGATCATCAGCATTGTCTAGTGCAGGTGCATCATCCCACACAAACCAATTGTCTACTTCCGGTTCGGGTGCGTCATCCTCAAGTTCAGTGGCCGCTCATGGTGCGTCGCAATCTACATCTGGGTCTTCTGCATCGTCAATTGCAGCAGCAGCATCCCATTCGAGTCTAGCGTCTACAGCTGACTCCTCAGCATCGTCATTAAGTTCATCAGCTGCTCATAGTGCGTCACAATCAACATCTGGATCATCAGCATTGTCTAGTGCAGGTTCATCATCCCACACAAGCCAATTGTCTACTTCCGGTTCGGGTGCGTCATCCTCAAGTTCAGCGGCTGCTCATGGTGCGTCGCAATCTACATCTGGGTCTTTTGCATCTTCAATTGCAGCAGCAACATCCCATTCGAGTCAAGCGTCTACAGCTGACTCCTCAGCATCGTCATTAAGTTCATCAGCTGCTCATAGTGCGTCACAATCAACATCTGGATCATCAGCATTGTCTAGTGCAGGTGCATCATCCCACACAAACCAATTGTCTACTTCCGGTTCGGGTGCGTCATCCTCAAGTTCAGCGGCTGCTCATGGTGCGTCGCAATCTACATCTGGGTCTTCTGCGTCGTCAATTGCAGCAGCAGCATCCCATTCGAGTCTAGCGTCTACAGCTGAATCCTCAGCCTCGTCATTAATTTCATCAGCTGCTCATAGTGCGTCACAATCAACATCTGGATCATCAGCATTGTCTAGTGCAGGTTCATCATCCCACACAAGCCAATTGTCTACTTCCGGTTCGGGTGCGTCATCCTCAAGTTCAGCGGCTGCTCATGGTGCGTCGCAATGTACATCTGGGTCTTCTGCATCTTCAATTGCAGCAGCAACATCCCATTCGAGTCAAGCGTCTACAGCTGACTCCTCAGCATCGTCATTAAGTTCATCAGCTGCTCATAGTGCGTCACAATCAACATCTGGATCATCAGCATTGTCTAGTGCAGGTGCATCATCCCACACAAACCAATTGTCTACTTCCGGTTCGGGTGCGTCATCCTCAAGTTCAGCGGCTGCTCATGGTGCGTCGCAATCTACATCTGGGTCTTCTGCATCTTCAATTGCAGCAGCAGCATCCCATTCGAGTTTAGCGTCTACAGCTGAATCCTCAGCATCGTCATTAATTTCATCAGCTGCTCATAGTGCGTCACAATCAACATCTGGATCATCAGCATTGTCTAGTGCAGGTTCATCATCCCACACAAGCCAATTGTCTACTTCCGGTTCGGGTACGTCATCCTCAAGCTCATCGGCTGCTCATGGTGCGTCGCAATCTACATCTGGGTCTTCTGCATCGTCAATTGCAGCAGCAACATCCCATTCGAGTCAAGCGTCTACAGCTGACTCCTCAGCATCGTCATTAAGTTCATCAGCTGCTCATAGTGCGTCACAATCAACATCTGGATCATCAGCATTGTCTAGTGCAGGTGCATCATCCCACACAAACCAATTGTCTACTTCCGGTTCGGGTGCGTCATCCTCAAGTTCAGCGGCTGCTCATGGTGCGTCGCAATCTACATCTGGGTCTTCTGCATCTTCAATTGCAGCAGCAACATCCCATTCGAGTCAAGCGTCTACAGCTGACTCCTCAGCATCGTCATTAAGTTCATCAGCTGCTCATAGTGCGTCACAATCAACATCTGGATCATCAGCATTGTCTAGTGCAGGTGCATCATCCCACACAAGCCAATTGTCTACTTCCGGTTCGGGTGCGTCATCCTCAAGTTCAGCGGCTGCTCATGGTGCGTCGCAATCTACATCTGGGTCTTCTGCATCTTCAATTGCAGCAGCAACATCCCATTCGAGTCAAGCGTCTACAGCTGACTCCTCAGCATCGTCATTAAGTTCATCAGCTGCTCATAGTGCGTCACAATCAACATCTGGATCATCAGCATTGTCTAGTGCAGGTGCATCATCCCACACAAACCAATTGTCTACTTCCGGTTCGGGTGCGTCATCCTCAAGTTCAGCGGCTGCTCATGGTGCGTCGCAATCAACATCTGGGTCTTCTGCGTCGTCAATTGCAGCAGCAGCATCCCATTCGAGTCTAGCGTCTACAGCTGAATCCTCAGCATCGTCATTAATTTCATCAGCTGCTCATAGTGCGTCACAATCAATATCTGGATCATCAGCATTGTCTAGTGCAGGTGCATCATCCCACACAAACCAATTGTCTACTTCCGGTTCGGGTGCGTCATCCTCAAGTTTAGCGGCTGCTCATGGTGCGTCGCAATCTACATCTGGGTCTTCTGCATCGTCAATTGCAGCAGCAGCATCCCATTCGAGTCTAGCGTCTACAGCTGACTCCTCAACATCATCATTAAGTTCATCAGCTGCTCATAGTGCGTCACAATCAACATCTGGATCATCAGCATTGTCTAGTGCAGGTGCATCATCCCACACAAGCCAATTGTCTACTTCCGGTTCGGGTGCGTCATCCTCAAGTTCAGCGGTAGCTCATGGTTCGTCGCAATCTACATCTGGGTCTTCTGCATCGTCAATTGCAGCAGCAGCATCCCATTCGAGTCTAGCGTCTACAGCTGACTCCTCAGCATCGTCATTAAGTTCATCAGCTGCTCATAGTGCGTCACAATCAACATCTGGATCGTCAGCATTGTCTAGTGCAGGTGCATCATCCCACACAAGCCAATTGTCTATTTCCAGTTCGGGTGCGTCATCCTCAAGCTCATCGGCTGCTCATGGTGCGTCGCAATCCACATCTGGGACTTCTGCATCGTCAATTGCAGCAGCAGCATCCCATTCGAGTCTAGCGTCTACAGCTGACTCCTCAGCATCGTCATTAAGTTCAGCAGCTGCTCATAGTGCGTCACAATCAACATCTGGATCGTCAGCATTGTCTAGTGCAGGTGCATCATCCCACACAAGCCAATTGTCTACTTCCGGTTCGGGTGCGTCATCCTCAAGTTCAGCGGCTGCTCATGGTGCGTCGCAATCTACATCTGGGTCTTCTGCGTCGTCAATTGCAGCAGCAGCATCCCATTCGAGTCTATCGTCTACAGCTGAATCCTCAGCATCGTCATTAATTTCATCAGCTGCTCATAGTGCGTCACAATCAACATCTGGATCATCAGCATTGTCTAGTGCAGGTGCATCATCCCACACAAGCCAATTGTCTACTTCCGGTTCGGGTGCGTCATCCTCAAGTTCAGTGGCTACTCATGGTGCGTCTCAATCTACATCTGGGTCTTCTGCATCGTCAATTGCAGCAGCAGCATCCCATTCGAGTCTAGCGTCTACAGCTGACTCCTCAGCATCGTCATTAAGTTCATCAGCTGCTCATAGTGCGTCACAATCAACATCTGGATCATCAGCATTGTCTAGTGCAGGTGCATCATCCCACACAACCCAATTGTCTACTTCCGGTTCGGGTGCGTCATCCTCAAGTTCAGCGGCTGCTCATGGTGCGTCGCAATCTACATCTGGGTCTTCTGCATCTTCAATTGCAGCAGCAACATCCCATTCGAGTCAAGCGTCTACAGCTGACTCCTCAGCATCGTCATTAAGTTCATCAGCTGCTCATAGTGCGTCACAATCAATATCTGGATCATCAGCATTGTCTAGTGCAGGTGCATCATCCCACACAAACCAATTGTCTACTTCCGGTTCGGGTGCGTCATCCTCAAGTTTAGCGGCTGCTCATGGTGCGTCGCAATCTACATCTGGGTCTTCTGCATCGTCAATTGCAGCAGCAGCATCCCATTCGAGTCTAGCGTCTACAGCTGACTCCTCAACATCATCATTAAGTTCATCAGCTGCTCATAGTGCGTCACAATCAACATCTGGATCATCAGCATTGTCTAGTGCAGGTGCATCATCCCACACAAGCCAATTGTCTACTTCCGGTTCGGGTGCGTCATCCTCAAGTTCAGCGGTAGCTCATGGTTCGTCGCAATCTACATCTGGGTCTTCTGCATCGTCAATTGCAGCAGCAGCATCCCATTCGAGTCTAGCGTCTACAGCTGACTCCTCAGCATCGTCATTAAGTTCATCAGCTGCTCATAGTGCGTCACAATCAACATCTGGATCGTCAGCATTGTCTAGTGCAGGTGCATCATCCCACACAAGCCAATTGTCTATTTCCAGTTCGGGTGCGTCATCCTCAAGCTCATCGGCTGCTCATGGTGCGTCGCAATCTACATCTGGGACTTCTGCATCGTCAATTGCAGCAGCAGCATCCCATTCGAGTCTAGCGTCTACAGCTGACTCCTCAGCATCGTCATTAAGTTCAGCAGCTGCTCATAGTGCGTCACAATCAACATCTGGATCGTCAGCATTGTCTAGTGCAGGTGCATCATCCCACACAAGCCAATTGTCTACTTCCGGTTCGGCTGCGTCATCCTCAAGTTCAGCGGCTGCTCATGGTGCGTCGCAATCTACATCTGGGTCTTCTGCGTCGTCAATTGCAGCAGCAGCATCCCATTCGAGTCTATCGTCTACAGCTGAATCCTCAGCATCGTCATTAATTTCATCAGCTGCTCATAGTGCGTCACAATCAACATCTGGATCATCAGCATTGTCTAGTGCAGGTGCATCATCCCACACAAGCCAATTGTCTACTTCCGGTTCGGGTGCGTCATCCTCAAGTTCAGTGGCTACTCATGGTGCGTCTCAATCTACATCTGGGTCTTCTGCATCGTCAATTGCAGCAGCAGCATCCCATTCGAGTCTAGCGTCTACAGCTGACTCCTCAGCATCGTCATTAAGTTCATCAGCTGCTCATAGTGCGTCACAATCAACATCTGGATCATCAGCATTGTCTAGTGCAGGTGCATCATCCCACACAAACCAATTGTCTACTTCCGGTTCGGGTGCGTCATTCTCAAGTTTAGTGGCCGCTCATGGTGCGTCGCAATCTACATCTGGGTCTTCTGCATCGTCAATTGCAGCTGCAGCATCCCATTCGAGTCTAGCGTCTACAGCTGACTCCGCAGCATCGTCATTAAGTTCTTCAGCTGCTCATAGTGCGTCACAATCAACATCTGGATCATCAGCATTGTCTAGTGCAGGTTCATCATCCCACACAAGCCAATTGTCTACTTCCGGTTCGAGTGCGTCATCCTCAAGTTCAGCGGCTGCTCATGGTGCGTCGCAATCTACATCTGGGTCTTCTGCATCTTCAATTGCAGCAGCAACATCCCATTCGAGTCTAGCGTCTACAGCTGATTCCTCAGCATCGTCATTAAGTTCATCAGCTGCTCATAGTGCGTCACAATCAACATCTGGATCGTCAGCATTGTCTAGTGCAGGTGCATCATACCACCCAAGCCAATTGTCTATTTCCAGTTCGGGTGCGTCATCCTCAAGCTCATCGGCTGCTCATGGTGCGTCGCAATCTACATCTGGGTCTTCTGCATCGTCAATTGCAGCTGCAGCATCCCATTCGAGTTTAGCGTCTACAGCTGACTCCTCAGCATCGTCATTAAGTTCATCAGCTGCTCATAGTGCGTCACAATCAACATCTGGATCGTCAGCATTGTCTAGTGCAGGTGCATCATCCCACACAAGCCAATTGTCTATTACCAGTTCGGGTGCGTCATCCTCAAGCTCATCGGCTGCTCATGGTGCGTCGCAATCTACATCTGGGTCTTCTGCGTCTTCATTAAGTTCATCAGCTGCTCATAGTGCGTCACAATCTACGTCTGGGTCTTCTGCATCGTCAATTGCAGCAGCAGCATCCCATTTAAGTCAAGCGTCTACAGCGGACTCTTCAGCATCGTCATTAAGTTCATCGGCTGCTCATGGTGGGTCGCAATCTACATCTGGGTCTTCTGCATCTTCAATTGCAGCAGCAACATCCCATTCGAGTCTAGCGTCTACAGCTGACTCCTCAGCATCGTCATTAAGTTCATCAGCTGCTCATAGTGCGTCACAATCAACATCTGGATCATCAGCATTGTCTAGTGCAGGTGCATCATCCCACACAAGCCAATTGTCTACTATCGGTTCGGGTGCGTCTTCGACGGGTAATGGTGCGAGTACAGTTATGAATGTAAATAATTTTGCTGCAATTAGTTCTTCATCGATAGTACGTAATGACACTTGTGTTTGCGGAATTACACTTCCTAATCCGATAACGATTGGAAGAGATTACTTCAAATATCCAGCGTATACTGGCACGCTTGTGTATGAGATACCAGCTACCGAAGATTTGTCGTATCACCTTGAAAATCGTAATCATGCTGTTGCCAATGACACTGTGGATCATGTTTATCCTTTGCTCTTTGGGTCGGATAACTTGTCATTCCCAACGCTGGCCATGGTTAGTCAAGGGAGTCATCCTGAAAAGAAAATAGATCTCAGTTCTTCAGGAATTAAAGCAATACTTCAGTCATCATTTAAAAATACTGACCAAAACAAAAGCAAGTATTCTGAAGGAAAAGCTAAATATATAGTAGTAAGAAAAACATTTATTTATAAGTTAACTTGAATAATGATGTTTATGTAAACCTTCTTACATGAAAGTATTTTAATGCCAATAGAATCGAAAAATTATATTTATTTTACTGCGAAAAGCAAGATGTTAATATGATTCCTTAGTTGATTTTTTTACAATTTTTAGTCAGTTACTTTGGTATCTTTGGTGGTTGGAAAAAGATTTATTTCAGCATGGGTAATGTACTGTCATGTGTCAGAAATAAAAAAGTAAAATACCTACAATAGTGTTATCTCATTCACCTGTTTTCGTATTTACAGATTTTTATGATTTACAATTATATTTTTGTTTACATGTCAAGGGTATAAACTAACTTGCTTTATTAAAACTTGTAAGAGATTGCCATTACCATTACTCTAATAAGACAACAAAAGATGGAGTACATTCTAGGTACTGTTTTCATACTGAACTCATTGTAAATAATGATCTGTTGAAATCCATGCTATTCCTTATGAGAAATACAGTACAAAACACAAAATGGATTTTAAAATGTAATGTTTGCAACGTGAAACGTGTAAAACGTTGTCTTCGCAAGGTTCTAAATAACTTTTTTTAGAACTTGTATTTGATTTTGATTTACAATTAATTATTGTACATATTTTGCACTTATGTAAAAATAATATTGAAAACAAAAACTAATAACCACACATAAGAGTTCGCCTGCATATATTCAAAATTAGGTGATGGGTTCAAAAAACTAGGAGATGATGTGTTTAGCTACCAACTTCTTGAATATTTTTAAAATACTGAAAATCGGATAAAACTTTCAAAGAATGAAAGTTGCATTAAACGTTTTAAGCTCATTACATTTTCTTGTAAGTTCTTCTTTAAACATCTAAACTCGACGGATGCTTAAGTTCGTTTAATACAATGCAAACCAAACCTTTTAAGGTAAAACAGAGATTAACATGTTTTTTTTAAATTTCACTCTTTAAAATAAAGTTTTTTTGAATCAAATATTCAATATATTGTGATTAAAACAACATGTTTGCATGTTGTATGTTGAAATATAACAAAATTGTTAAAATGATTCAAAAGTGCTTTGAATGCAAAAACTACACAAAGTGGTCAACACGGTATATTAACAATCGATATATTTTATTTGATATTGAAAAAAGAGCACAGACTACTATATTTCATAACAAGAGTATAAAGTGAATCATAACATATTTGAAACCATTTGTTTGAGGTGCGAGATCAAATTTGGTCGAGAATATATATAGACCCACTTTCACTCGTATTTTGAACAGTACTTTTCGCTACATTACAAAGACAAAGTATTTTTAAAACAAAAACAGACATTGGTTTGTTTCTTTATTACAGTTAGGAACATTTCAAAACAAGTAGATTTATTTTGGTTATGCCTTATATTTAAAGTGCAAATTTCCATTGATTGTACAGTTTTGGTCGTTGAAAATTGAACAGTTGATGAAACATAGCAAATATTTGTTTGTTTATGTCGGTATAATCCAAAAAAGATCGCATTACTTTTGCACAGTAAACATTCTTTTTGCGCAGAAAACAATGTAACGGTGAATTTTCGCAAGTAATAAACATAACGGAAAAAGATGATTTCACAGTAGTGTAGCGAAAAGGTAAATATTCAGCTAGAGGAATGATGTAGCAGAGAAATATTCTAGAGCATGTATATCATAAGAATATCTGTTTTAGGTTCATTGTGAAAACTAGTTAGTTTTAATTGTTTATCTAAAGCAACCGAGGGCGAGATTTAGTACGTGTATTCGGGTGATTTTAAAAGACAATGCAGAATAGGGTGATATAGACCTTTGGTAAAAATACAAATTACAAGTAAGACACCAAGATGATTTTAAGTACCATTGCATAAAACACACTGCTGTGATCATTTTAGGTTAGTTCATGATACACTATGTTATGAGATCACTGATAATTGTACAGTTGTAGCCTACCAAAGACAAAATAGTATTACTTCCTTGTCAGTGGTCATTAACAATGTTTCCACCACTTTGATGGTCTAACCTAACTCAAACTTCGTAGCAGTGTTCTTATTTGAATTATTACAGGATATTATGTTTGGATTGGATAAAAATGTGTAATATTTGAAATTACGACTGAAATTCGCCTATTGGGTCTGATGATGATTGGAGTGTCCAATCGAAATCGATCACCACTTACCAACTTGTACATGTATTTACCGTCTTGTAAGCCAACAGCATAAGTGTAAATTACGACTGTCAAACCTTTTCACTAATTTTATAAATTAAAACATTGACAATTTGGTGGATGTAGCAGAGTATGTAAATATTTAGGAAGGTCCTAATATTGCAACATGATAAGGAAATTTCTATTATACTCACACTTTCGTTCTTCCTAAGCTGCTCCTACCAAGCTGGTGTGAAATTTTAATCCAAAATGATCTCAATTATCTGTGACTTTTATAGCTAGGGTTTTGTTGACACCTTCGTTTGTGATATTAACTGCCCGGAGGAAAAGAATGATCAGATTTGTGATTGGGAAATCATTTTGAATATGTTGACAAAGATGAACTAAGGTCGTTAGATAGTGATTAAGAAATGATATAACAAAAGTTCACATGGAATTTTCACACATTTTGTCTTTCCATCGTCGGATTTATATCATCGCTTTGGCGCAGTGACATCATGCTATCTATGTTTATATACGGGTATATATACCTTTTGTTTCTTAAAGTCCGTTATTTAAAGTCAAGAATAAGAAGTTTAAGTGAACGGTAAAAATAAAAACAATTTGTAAAAAAATACTTTGAGTATAATGGTGGCAATGTTGAACTGTAAGCCTTAAAATTAAAACTACTGAACTTTTTGATCAAGTGTAGATTGTACTTAGTCTCCAAAAAGTTGGGGACTTTTCACTAAAAATTATTTGTAATAAATTATTGCTCCTACTAATAAGTTTAATCCTAAGAAAGAGAGACATTGCACAGTATCGAATTTACTGGTACCCATTATTTTTATGCGTAAAAAAATACTCTTCAAGACAAATTTCCATGTATGTATTAAAGTATTTTAAAATTGATATTTGTAAACCCAGGGTTCCCAAAGGTAAACAGAAATTAATTGATACATCAAGTCCTAAGGATTAAATAGTTTTAAATACAGTCAAAACAAATTTTATAAGATTTGAAGAACTCTTTTTTCACATTAAAAAAAAACTCAAGTGATTGCAAAGTAATGACTGCTAAGTATACTTCACAAAGTATGACATTGATATGGACACTGGCTTACAATGCTTGGTTTAAGTTAATGTATTTTTAGGTTTGTAGTTTAATCGTCTATCAACCGTGCACATACTATCAACAAGCCTAAAAATATTTATATAAATTAATGACGTAGAATCATATTTTAATACAGGTTTCCCTCCTAAATACCGGGAGAATGTAAAACCTTTCTTGATACGGACAGTAGTAAAGGGAACAAAAATGAAATAGTTTTGGTGTAAAGTTTTATAAAAAAATTATATACAGACATATAATCTAGTTCTAATGCAGTTGTTATCGTCCATGTTAACTCAGTGCCGACGAGCAAGGCAGTATGGCAGCGAAATCGATTATCAGACATCTCTACTTCTTCTTCCTGAAAACAATCAAACAACTTAATACAACAATTGCGCAGATAATAAATAATACTTAGTTTCTTTAAAACCCAAATGAAAATATTTTTTGTTGTGAAAATAAACGCTAAAGATATTTTCATAAGGATGAATGGCTTTGAAATAAGGTTCGGACACACCATACGAAGTAATTAATAAACACATTGAATGTGTTTGGTTAAATTAATTGATGGACATGAAACCACTACCGCCTAAACAAACATTCCCTGATATAACAACTAACTGAAAGTTCTTCAGATCTGCTGTATAAAATAGTTAGGTACACACCTATTCTTTATTTTTCAATAAAACCTTATTTTACCACCTAGTAAAGTAAAGTTCTTTCCTTTATATTTAGATAAGGGGTTTGAATTCTCTAAGCAGCTTTGAGGCCTTTATAATTGTATAAGTGGCGCTGGTGTGTGCTTACAATTACTGTAACTCTATTATTTAGTTTGAAAACATAAACTTTTTGAAATTATAGACCTGTTTACTTTCAAAACCCTACTTAAAATTGTCATGCCAATATATTAAAAAGAATATAACAGCATACCTTATTGAAAGTCTAAAATCCTTGCAGCAGTTTTTTTATAGTAATGACCTTGCTCATTGTCATTCTGGTCTTGACCCAGGGAAAAGGTGAAACGAAACGTATTTGTAAAGTAAGTATTGGACGGACTAGAAAATAAAGTTAGTAATGTTTACGTTTCAAGCAAAAATTTCTACAACTGCTTACCCCCAAGATCCAGCGCTAGAGCTAGACTGAGCGCTGCTCTGGCTGCTGGACCAGCTGCCACCCATGGGTGAGCCGCCACATCCGCCGCCTCCACAGGGGCTGTAGTGTTGTGGGGGCGGTGGCGGGGGTGGCTGGTAGTGCTGCTGCTGCTGGCAAGGGTCGCACACAGGACGGGGAGGTGGTGGTGGAGGCGGTGGATGATACATCGGCTGCTGCTGACACGAGTAGCAGGGCTGAGGAGGAGCGTACATTGGATGCTTCATGCTGGAACAGGAATTTGATAATGTAGCAAACGCATCTAAATACCAATGTTTAGTTATTAATTAGAGTTAAAAACTGAACTATGTAAACGGACTGGCTGTAAACTGTCAAATTTGGGCCTTCTAGAGAACTGAAAAAAACTGGCTGACATTTCAGATGCGTTGGCCAAAATTTGTACCAGTTACAGAACCAGTCATCTTCCGAAGATTTGAATCTTACGCGTTGAACGTAAATGGGGAGATACACCAACAGTCTGAACAGATACAGCTTGGGATGAGAATTTTTGCTCAGGGAACATAAATATAGTAGACCGTACATTAATCGTCCGATAGTAGTAGTTGTTTAAAAACCTATTGTATGTAACTACATTTTGGCAACAGTGTTCAACATTAATCGAAAAGCAAGTATCTTTTAAACGTAAGAATAATTCTAACAAAAGAATTCAACTCTTTTTATGTATGACTGACTTGAATTACAAGTCATCCGAACTTGTTTCTCACCCTGACAAACGAGTTTAATATTAAACGATAAAAGCACTTTGAACTTCGCAATCTTAAACTCGTCCTCAAGTTACCCTGTTTAAAATTCCTGATTAAAATCCGCCTCAAAACTGTGCTGTAGGATAGCTCGTTTATGACCAAAGAATTATTGCTTAGCAAGATTCTTTTACTTACAGAATCTTAGGCATCATTCCACAAATCATGCAGCCTTTATGTTTGGAGAATGTCCTTTTCCTCCGCGCCAATTTTTGTTCGCTTAGAGGAACTTCCCGAGGACTGCCTTGCATCTCTTCGGTCATCTCCTTCTGAAAGTGGAAACCGGTGATTAGATGTACAAATATGAGGAGTTTTCTGGATCCGGACTTTTTTATTGTTGCTTTAAACGAGTTCTATGTGAACATAGTTGGCCACTTATAAATTATAACCATGGTACATCATCTTTTTAATTCACATATCTTTTGAACTAGTATTATATAAGTAATTAAAGTTCCAGCATTAAAACCCAGTCACAATCCTCTTGAATTTACCTTAATTATAATTTGTTTACATTCAATAACATATTTAAAAACTACTTAAAGTGGTCATACTATGATATTCCTACTTACCACCAAATTATCTCCTGATGCTAGGCCCATGACGGCTTCTTCTGGTCCGTTGGAAACAGGAATCTCAATAGCGGGCATAGGAGCTGCAGGAGACTCCTGGGTATCCTGGACAATCCCACGGGACTCTCCGAGGCCATTCCTTGGGGATTCAGGGAGGTCCATCATAAGGGACATCGCAGGTTGGAGTCGGGTTGGGCTTTGCGGTGAAACTATACAGATTTAAACACATATTTTAAGCTACTAATAGGTGAGATGGGAAGGAAGTTTTATTTTTACGTGATAGGATGGATAAAAAATGGATCTCATCGTAGTAGCATAGATAAAAGGAGTCCTTTTATCTATGGTACTAGTAAGATATTCATCTAGGTGTAATCAGATAACTTATCGACTATCTTAACTCTTAATTCAGTAAGCAAAATTGTTGAAATTATAAACTAAACAAAGAACACTGAATGAATAACGTATTAGATCAAGTTTAGGATGTGGAATACATCGTACAGCGAGCAGAAAAGTTCTTCCATCTAATTGATATTCTGTGGAGGTTTTTCATCACCGCAAACTTTACTGTACGATTGTTATTCAGTGGCGTTAATACGACTATTATTCCGGAAACGGAAACATGTAATTCCCTGGCCTTGCTAGTATAAATGGTCAGTTAAAGTTTTGCAAGGAATATTTAAATACTTAATGACAAAAAATACAGTCGTTGTGTTGCTAATGATGAATCCTAATTGAAGCACTTATATTTTGTAAATTCTCCACACAATATTCCTTCTAGGTTAGGCCTATTCTATGTTTGAAAACAACAAAACAGAACGATATGCAAAAAGCTATTTTATTGAAATAAAATTAACAGACAGGTAACGAAATTTAAAAGGCTACAATGAAAGGACTGACAATGGAATGTGGGCTTACAATAAAGTGGAAGATTAATTTTAAATGTATGGCTATTAGGTTTAAATTTACAAAAGTCTAATTTAAATTGGCTCTATCTCAGTGTAAGTTGTCGTGCTGGCTTGAATGCAAAGAATGAATGAATTAAATAATTTCCAGATAATTAAAGTGTTTAACTTACAACATTCCAACAATGAAAATCAAATTTTTATGTTGTCCAAAAGGTAAGTCCAAATGTGCACAGAATTTACCAAGTTAATAAGTGAGTTTAAAATAAAAAGTGTATAGGACTACTTAATTATAGAGAAAAACGTTGAAATTGAGTCCTCTTGAGGTTAACGTTCATAAATTATTATTATTTTTTTTAACATAGTTTTATTTACAATCTGTTTTGTATTAAACAATAAGTAAATATGATGTTTTGAAATTATTATCTTGTAGTAGGTTTTATGTTCATGAGGGATAATAGAAATTCCAAAACATAGCTCTTATTGCATTTTACAGCAAATTTTTTTGAGATCATTCATACAGGGTGGTCCCTGGTGCCTAGATTCCCGTTTATATGTCTGTATGTGTGTTTTTTTTTTACAAAAACAAACATAACTCCTTAATGGTTTAAGGTACAGAGTGAGATATTACATGACTGTTTATTCTACTGAGACGTATGTTTTCAAAGTATTCTAATAAAATATCATTAACATCTTCAAAATGGCGGGCTTTTAAAATATTTGATCCAAATTCCAAAAAACCGTTGACTTTACCAGATAAAATGTAAAGAAAATCATATTGTGGTTTTATCAGAGCACATAAACTCACCATTGGGGACGATACTGTTGGTAGCTCCATCATCACCTCTCGTCAGCACACCCAGCAGCAGGACCAAGAATACACAAGACCTGAGCATCCTGGGGCACATCTGCACGAACTGCTGACATCTACAGGAGCAGCAGCTTATATTACCCAAACAATTGACGACTTGAATCACCGGGAAAAGGAGTTCCCCTAAACACCAAGGTCGGGTACGTGGTAGAAAAGTAATGGAGTAATTGAAAAAATTATAATCCAAAATTAAAGTGGGAAAATCCCAGACATTCTGTTGCGGCTGCAATCTCGGCATTACTTATCTCAGGTAAAACGGCACGTGACCAACAAACTTGTAATCAAACTGTGACGTCATTACGGTGGAGAGGAATCTGAATTGAGGGTTTGCATTGTTTACAGTATCAAACCTCTTAGTGTAGTAAGAAAGATGTGAGTACAGTGCCAGCTTAATCTTTCTTTTTAGCTGCTTAATCAAGTTAGTGCTATATATAGTTGTTTAAGCTGTAAAATGAGGTATTAAGGAACGCGGCAGCGTTCCGCCCCGCCAAGTCCCCCAGCGGTACACAGCTGCTGCAGTGTATGTATACATGACGTGACAAAGTGGCTTTTTTACTCGTCTATAGCTCTGAAGAAACAAAAGCTATTAAAATAATTGTTCATCTACTGGATAGGGGCAATCATTCTCAACAAAATTTAAAAAAAGAATTTAAACAACGGTTGTGTTTGAGCCAAGAAAAACTAGTTTGAAAATTCACAAATTTTCCGTGTTCTCCTTCTTCTCCTTAAATGTTGACGGACCTACAGCCCAAACCACTGGCTCAATTTTAATGTTTTTTATGTTGTTTGAAAGCCCTTAGCGTGTAGATGTGCCTTTTGAGGGTCTCAAGTCGGTGCGTTGACCCATAAACCCTTGGCAAGCCCTCAAAGTACGAGTTTGGCCCATTTAAATTACATGGGATTAAAATCAAAACAAAAGAAGGACCAGCTGCGATTAAATCTTAATTAATTAAATGTTAGAGAAATTCATAGGAACAGCTGAAAAATTATTTTAATACTTTTATAAAGTATTTTTTTCAGGTATACTGAATGATTTGAACTACTTACTATATAAAATTACTTAGAGCAGTGATATTCCCCGATACTTTCCATTGAAAAATGCAGTGTACCGATGGTACACTGGTACAGCAGCTCGTCATTTTTAACAGTTTAATACTGCTTATCAAAACATATGAAACCTAGGAACTTGAAACTTAGTACTTTTTACGCTAGTATAAGGTTTGTTCTATGTTTTGATACACTAAAACAAATAAAACGATCGGGAAAATCACTCTACATATGTTAAACAAGCAATTAAAAAGTGATATGTAAATTTAGGATAAATGAGTTATTCAATATTTGTTTTGCCTTATGCTATTTCTAACAAACCTAATTAGTTTGATTACATTTTTACATCTCTAATAAGGACTCAATTTACACTAGTCTTTAGATATACGGGTTTAATTATTAGAACACTTATGTAACATCAACACATTTTATGTTGTTCAAGATGAGCATTGATGAAATTTGAAACTGAGTTTAAGCCCATTGGGTTTGTTAAATAGTAATTTTGGTACGTGTGTCAAAAAGTTTTTAATCTGTTTAAAGCAGATAAGACCAAAAATGTAGAATTTAGTTCTACATTAACAATATTATTGAAATTAAATGAGATGTAGTTTTGCCGTGGTCTATATATCAGAGAAAAGAGGATTTTTATTTTAACTGTTAATTTTCTACAAAAATAAATAAAATCTAACAAAAAAACCACTAAGTGGTAACACTTTCCCCGCCAAGTCAGCAATCCAAAAAAGTTAATAAATCATTACTTTTTCCGCCAAGAAAAACAATGTAATGTATGTAAGTTTGGCAACTTGGCGGCAGACTTTTGCTCGATCCCTTTAAAAAATACCATAAAACTAGTTTCATTGAGCAAGTATCCCTCCCATTGGTACATTGCTAGGTGAGAGCTTATTTTACAAAATTTGACCTTATTTGTGCCACATTTCATAAATTATACTTAGTTGGACTAATTAATTAGAGAAGTTGATTTGTGAAATTATCCACGAACGTAACTTAAATGAAAAAAACCAAGCAAAAGTCTGCCGCCAAGTTGCCAAACTTACATACATTACATTGTTTTTCTTGGCGGAAAAAGTAATGATTTATTAACTTTTTTGGATTGCTGACTTGGCGGGGAAAGTGTTACCACTTAGTGGTTTTTTTGTTAGATTGATTAATAGTTAGGTACCTTACTAGTACATACTGAGTATTTAAAAAATATAGGTCCCTATAAAATATTCATGGTGATAACAAAAGGATTTCTGGAAATTAGATTCTAAAAACTGGAATATATTTTGCTTCTTAAGATCTTTCATAGATTTTGGCCCTGTTTAAGAGTATTTTTAGTCCAGTTTGAATTAAATATTCAATTTTGCCTTGAATAGTTCCTATCCCATGAATTGAATATTCCCATTCCAAATGGTGCATTTATTCCATGTATTGAATAGTTTCCATCCCATATGGTGCATTCATCCCATGCATTAACTGCATGATGGGATCGAATGTGATGGAAAGAATTTAGTAGCTTAGCTAATTATTACGTCCGACCGACACATTCAATAACTAATTCAGCCACGATCTAATTACTATGAGTGTAATTGAATCACTAAATGCTTGGGTAGTGTATTTCATGGTGCTTAGTGGGCCCAGGAAGGATCATGAATATAATTACTGTATATGGGTTTTGTTTACCTGATCCACCGTCTATAAGCACATTATCCCACCGTAAGATAACCGACGGACAAATGTGCGTATTCAGAATTTTAAATCGTCAACATTACTTTTAATTTTAATCTTAAAAAATTAATCATATCAATAATTCATCATCCTAATTATAAATATGGCCGTCAAAGGTCAATTCAATAACCTTTTAAATCATGCATCACTATCTTTTATGTTTCTACACAGGATTTTAGTGTGAAAAACATAAAGAGGGAATAACTTTGATAAAAGTACGCTCTCTTTGGGGTGATTCAACTATATTCTTTCAAAGAATCTTTTCTAACCTTAGTTGGTCGATAAAGATGGGACGTCACTATACATGGTCACGACTCAATCAACGCTCTCCTAGAATTGCCTCCAAGGTAAGAACGATAACTATGTATGGGTGGTTTTAAATTATTATCGGAGGCAATGGAATCTCGCCAACACTAAGTTTTCAAACAACTACTACTATTAATATCGGACGATGAATGTACTGTGTCTCATCTTACGTTCAACGCGTAAAATTCTAATTTTCAGAAAATGACTGCGTCATTAACCACACCATCACGTTCTTGAAATGTTAACGTACAAAAGATGATTATAATTTTAATATAGGCCTGTACTTACATGCATGAAGAAAATAACATATTGCATATCTGTTACTTATGCATATTGTTTCAAGAAATACTAATTGTCTAGAAACCGAACTCTTTCTGCTAGTAAAATATTAATGATCGAGAAATTAGTAGTAGTATGCGTCGATCTGGTGTTATTAATCTATATCCTATCCTATATCCTATATCCTATCCTATATCCTATATCCTATATCCTATATCCTATATCCTATATCCTATATCCTATATCCTATATCCTATTCACATCTCAAAGCTATTTGGCAACCGTTTTATACGTTGATATAATTATAAGCTACTGTTATCTATCCATACTATTAAAAAATTGAGATGGTGTCTGTCTGTCTGTCTGGGCAGCTGTCACGACTAAAATCCTAAACAGATACAGCCAAAATTAAGAACAAAGATGGTCCACATATCCAGGAATGTCATAGGCCTATTCACGTTCCTGAGTTCCTCTCGGGCTACGCCCATTGGATGTCCAAAGTCTTGAGTTGAGGTTTTCAAAAGTAAGTATTAATTGGCCTCAATGGAAGCATGAGAAAATTCACAATGTTTACCTTTGTGTTGAAATTCAAAATATAAACAACCAGAACTGCTCATTTCACAATTTCAGACAGCTGGTCCAAAGCAATGAAATATATTTTACACAACTATGTGGTAGGATTATTTCATCTTAAACTTTATGATAGATGATTTATTATACATCTATTTCAATGATTGTGAAACATATCTTTCTTCCCGTTGCGAAGCACGGGTACAGCAGCTAGTTATTAATATAATATATTAGTATGAGCACCAGCATGAAAATCCCAAATGCAACGGAGATGTTTGTATAGCCAATGTTGAGAAATTGTTCCAAAAGTCATGTAACAGACTTTTTATTTTTTAACCATTTTCAGTTATCTGTTTTGTAGTTATTTTATGTAACCTTTTATAAGCTTCAATACACTAATTCTTTCTAACGTAAACATGCTCTCCTATGTAGGCATATTGATATTCCTAAAGGATAAGGCAGTTTTGAGTTATGTTTTTGTCCGGATGAGTGCTTTGAAGCCTACTATTTAGGTATTTATTTCACTACCTTTGAAATTACAAAATTGAAGTTAAACTACCTATATGTAATCTACACGTGTATATAGTCATAGACAAAACGAATTAAATATAGACCGTCAGCCGTGCTGCGGTTACTATAGGTTCTGGCGCACACCGCTAGGAGCGCCATGTAGTTATGGCGTACGAACTAAGAAACTACATGGCTCTCCCAGCGGTGTGCACCAGACCCTATGGTAACCTCAGCACGGCTGACTTCTATATTCAATTGTTTCTTTCTATAATATAGTGGTATTTCAACCAAATTATAGTAATGCACGCACTATTAAACGTAACTAGAAACGTTTATTTGATACTCAAGTATCATCAGACTTGGTCCACATCAACACGGGCTTCAGGTTGTGGAATAAGGTGGAAAAACTACTTGCAATATACAACGTCAATTAGATCCAATGTCAGAGTACAGTAAATTTACAATTGCGATCCTTTATTCAAAATCTCATCTCTATATCATGTTACCCTGTATACTCAATGTAAATTAGAATACGCAGTCTATAGCAATTAGTGTAGAGTACATGAACCAAGGGAAAAAATCCAGTCATACATAAGTACAAAACATTTATTGTGAGGTTCACCGGGAAAATCGAGGAGAGAGGATGACGCGCAGCTTGATCCTTGAGCAGTTTGACCTTTTAGGAAGTTCAAGGTCATTACACAGTCATCACCTGTAAACAAACGCGTAATTACTGCAGAGGAGACATGAAGTATCTGCAAGACTTCACTTATATCTATGTAGCTGATGTTGAACTATCGGTGTTTGTTCTTTGAGTGTCAATCCCTAAATCTGTCCCTTAAAAATTAATCTTTCGATTGGCTATAGTATGATTGTAAATTGAATTAGAGTTGAAAATTCCTTGGCTAGAAGTCAGATCAAGATTTACGTACAAACAAAAAAACTTATAGAATAGTTATGTTTATATTAGTTTGGATTTAAAACAATTGTTAGAGTTTAAATCTCCAAATGCGCAATGCACCAACGATTAATTGTCGTACATTTAAATAAAACCACTATTAGACGTACAGTATTCTTAATACCATATTTTTTAATTAACTCGATAAAAACGTTAATGATAAACCGTAGGTAATCTATTTGTCGATTTCAATAGGGGACTCTCAATACCACAACAGCTAACAGTTAGTTATGGTAACCCAAATTCATGAACAATGAACCAATTTAAAAGAGCTAAAGAAAACTTTAGAAAAATGTATATAAACCTAATTTTTATCCAACTATTATTATTTAACTAGATTAATTTGTAATATTTTTTATCACAGACTGCCAAAGTTCTTACTTTAATAGCAGTACATAATATTACGAGATTACATTGCATATAGAAAGTTGTTTCTTGACCCCTAGGACCTAGACGAAAGACTTTTCTTGATATCTTAATTATACACTAACACTTTTTATGGGAAAACAACCCAAACCTCAAACCGCTAAAGGCAATTAGGAAACCAAGATAGTAACCACAAACCATTAACTTGTACAATGCTATCCTAACAATGTAACTAAATTAGCTATGCAATGTTACAAGGTGTCAAGTTTTTCAGTTGTATGTTGATTATGGGAGCAATTTATAAATGTTAAAAAAAAACATTAAGGTACAAAATGAGAAAGGTTTTTATAAGCAGTGACCAGATGTAGGACCTCTAACGCCTTTTAATTCCTTTTGGGGAGCGAGCTGGCGCAGTGGTTAGAGCGCGGGACTTCAGTCACTGAGGTACCGGGTTCGATCCCCGCCAAGTCACCAATGGATTTTATATAAGTGATAATGTCGCAACCCCTAGGTCAGGCCTGATATAATGTGAAAAACAATCCCAGCCTCATGCCTAGCGTCCTAGGAAAAAACGCCTTTTAATAATTGACAATGAAAACCCCGTCTTACCATCCTCCGGAGAAGGAGCCTGAGGAGCTTTGGGCAGAAGAGGACGCAGAAGATTGAGAGTATGAGCCACCGCCCCCGCCACTATGTCCGCCCCCGCCGCCACCACAGGTGGAACATCCGCCACCTCCACCACCTATGTGGTTGCCACCAGACGGGTAGCCACCTCCACCCCCTGACGGATAGCCACCACCTCCGCCGCCATAGTGTCCACCTCCACCCCCTGATGGATATCCTCCACCGCCTCCACAGTTGCCGCTAGCACAGCCACCTCCGCCGCCATAGTGTCCACCGCCACCACCGCCTCCTGGATAGTAGCTACCACCTGTAACATTTCAGTAATGTAAACAATGTCAATCATAACTGCAAGTATATTTGTGTTGATGAAGTATGGCAAAATCTGCTCATTTAAAAATAATATAATTTTCACGATTTTTATTTTACTTTTAGTATGTGTCTTTTTACGCTATTGGTATGTTTACGTTATATTGTAAGGAAATATAATGTTATATAACTTTGAATATAATGTTTACTGTACCGGTACCTAATGGGAAAATCCTCAATTTTCTTTAAAAACTTAAAATACCATTTACAAAAATTACCAAAAGCAAACATTTTCTAAAATTTCCTTTTCAATTGGTAAATGAGAGGAATATAACTCACCACCTCCTGGGTATCCACCTCCACCCCCGTAAACTGGCTTAGTCTTGATAGGGATGACGACTATTGTGCCGCCTCCACCACCTCCACCTCCGCCTCCGCCTCCATAATGTCCACCGCCGCCCCCGCCACCTCCACATCCACTGGGGCCGCAACCTCCACCGCCACTGTGTTCCCTAGGGACGAAAAGACGACGAGGTTCGGTAAAACATATGTAATCAGAGTCTAAAGAACTAAGTAAATCGTACAATACCACTGTGTATACATTTTTCCATGGACTATTCTATTTTAGGGGTATACAATTCTAGTAAGGCTGTGCCATTGACGGTACATAGCTGAAATGCACCAATTATTCAGTGTATCAAGAACCATTTCCTATCTTATACTGTACATCAACGTTTTATTCTTGCCAAACTGAAATATGTTCTGTTGATGAAATTTCCCAATCGAAAGGGACTATTTTGTAGCATACAACAGTAAAATTGCAAATTTGAAGTCTCCTACAATCTTTTAAATAATCTTTAAATTAACAACTGAGAGAAAGATTAATTGAAGTATTGATAGTAACCCCATTTAAGGGACTTAATTAACTAGTCATTAAGTCATTAAATCAGAGACCAAGACATCGTTTACATGGCTTAATCCTAAAGTATGGTGTAACTTACTGCCCATAGCCGCCACCCCCATAGCCGCCCCCAGGGCCACTGCCCCCGGCGCACACCGAGCAGTAGGCGCCGCCTCCGTAGGTCTTCTTGTGATGATGGGTTGGTGACCTCCTCAGCCTAGCTAACAGTGGGGATACATTTTCTATTGCAGCCTGAAACATGCAGAGTCACATTCATTGTCATGATTGTCAACAAATTCATAAAAAAGCGTTCATAAAACAAATCAGTTGCTAGTTGGAAATATAACGGTTATTCAAGGTTTTCGAGTCTGAATTATTAATTCCTTAGTAATAAATCCTCTATTTTTGTTAGCAAAATAATTCAAATAACTTTTTATTTTTAAAGGTATCTAAAATAATATGCAGTAGGCTGCAATTTGTTTGAAATTTAACTTGTATACTAAGGCAAAAAACATACAGATAAAAAATTGAAATGCGAATGCCATACAACAAAATTCAATAACAAACCATACTTACATTTTTCTGAGCATCTGTTTCTAAATTTAATACTTGAAAATCAGCATCATCTGTAAAGAAATAATATAATAATTTAAATATAAAACTATATAATATGTACTCCGGTAGTATTTTACACAAATATTCTTTATTGTAGTGTAATATTTATACCAGTGCAATTACACCAACACATTCATGATACGTGATGGAAAATAGATTGATCATAATAAAAGTATTTTTTTTTTTGCAAAATCTGTATCTAGATAGAAAACTTAAAATTATTTAGATAGGTTATTGCCTTCAGTTCGATTGAATGTTGTAGTTAATCTTAGAATTCCATTGACTAGATAAAGATAGTCGTTATCTTTGTTAATAATTCCCTGGACAGTTTCTTTATTATATTTTTTTCGGAAGTTTAGGTTCAAAGTAATCCTTAAGATGATATAAGAGCATTATAAACGCGTGATGAGTATTTTTCTGGACTTTCCTATTTGACTGAGTTTTAGATGATTGCAGATGTGCTCTATTTGGTCTCAATCCGAATTCCATTTTATATTGTGTCTTCCAAGAATTGTACTGGACATCATAAACAATGCCCTTTTTATACATAAATACAAAAATAAATTAATTAACTTTAATAGTTTGAGGGGTTAATCCTATACTTAATTTTATTTATATTAATCCAATAGAATTAAACACGTCGTAAATTAAGAAAATGTTTTAACTACTTTGCGGTTCATTTGTTATTTAAACAACTACAATAATTCATAAGAGTTTCAAAATGTTCAAGTTATATGTGTTTATACACTTCAAAGGATAATTTAAGTGATAAGAGATTTCAGTGCTGCAAAATGCATCGTAGCAAGGGATGTATTGCAATTACCTACTCAGTTTTACATCCTACAAGAAAAGCAGTACAGTATGATAGTTTAAGTAGGTATAATATTATCAATTGCAAATCTATCTTTTGCTAAGTGAACCTTTTCGACAGTTTGGTCTTTTTGATGTCTATAATGGCTAGATAATTGCGTGGATAAATTTCTTCACCTTAATTACAAAATGTTTATGAATGATTCATAACTAACCAACAATTTAAAGGTTGCCGATTCGATCAGAAAAGAAGAAGAAGCTCTTTCAAAAAGAAGATGAGCGCTTTCGAAACTGTCCATGGCTGTTCATGGAGGCTTTTAAATAAATAGTCCAGACTATAGGTATAAATACGCCTTGTTTAATCCTTATCTGTTACAAACAAACTTCAATAAAAACTCTTGAACACAACTTGATTTACAAAACTTTGCAACCAACCTTTCAATAAGCATCAACCAATCCACTTTCACAATACAATAATTAAAGACGCACCAATAACAAGTATTTCCACACCTTAACCTATATTTTACACATAAACTAACCTTTGTTCTCAGCGAGTGCAGGGACCACCAGTAGCCCCAGGAGTACGACCCACATCTCCTTCATGTTGGACTCTAGGACTCTTCAGGACGAAGGACTCGTTTATATCGGTGTCCTGGCATGTAGTGCAGCAGTTCGCCGAAGTCGGGGATCCCCAACTGACCATTTCAAGGACGCTACATCCTGATATGTGCTGAGGCTGATGTGCAATTATAAACGTTTCACGACCAATTGTAACGCCCCATTCCGATCATCATCAGGACAAAGCATTGCTGAGGCCAAGGCCATCGATGCTGATGTACCGGCGAGGATCGTTGACTTTGGATAGTAGCGTACAAAGTAGACTTGTATCTGAAGTTTGGATGCGTGTTTTAAAGCAAATTATGATTGAGTGTACTGCCGATAAAACTTAACCCTCACAATTTTAACCTAAGCTAAGTCATAGTACCATAGGATACACAATTGCTTCGTAACTTTTACTTTTTCGTAGTTTTGCTGTTGGTTAACTTACAAGAATTACAACAAAGTAATACATAAATTAATGGAAATATACATTGAACTCCGCGAATTTCTAAGGATATAATGTAGGGGAGTATGTAAAATGCATAGATTTAGCCCGTACATTTCATGTTAAGGAGGTCCACATTTGGTTTAGGATTCTAAATATCCAATGAATTCAATGAGTGACAGAATTGCAAGTCGTTCTTTCAATGATCTAGATTTTTAGCAGATCAGACGACACTTACTCTTTTGTCTGAGTTTACTCTGCACCCAAATAGTTAAAACCTAATGAGAATTTTGGACCAGGTTTAAAAATTGCATTATTAAGTCATTGTAACTTTTACAAATTTACTGGTATATTTTTCTCAAAGCACTATACAGGGTGAGTCTTCTAAGCTGTCCTAAACAGATTACAGACGAACGGCTTGACATACAGAGATGAAACAAAACTTTTTCCCCACTAATTCATACCCAAGGAACAACGTAAAAATATTTTTACCATTTTTTAAATACAGGGTGTTCAAGAAACTGGGGGTCATGAGTTCGAATCTCAGAGTTTTCAAATGTAAACATATTATGTCATATTATGCATCATTTTTAAACGTGCAGTACTGAAGATTAATGGATGCAGATACACTATTCCCATGATACTGTGCGTTTAACATGAGTTTTATATAGGCAATTGGAATTTTTGGTTAATTACTAGAAAACAACCAAAGATAGACGGTAGATGTAAATTTAAAAGTTGTTTGTTTTTACAAGACCTTAAAAATGATACACAATTTTACATATGTTGCCAGTAAAAAATTTTCATTTACAAGGCTACCAACTTAAAAAAAAATTAAAATCATAGAAAAAATATTTAGTTTTTAAAATGTTGACTTGTTGTATATCAAATTAAAGCTGAACCTACGAGGATTAAGAATTTTCAAACAGAACGAAAATAAGTTTAGTGGTTTTCAAGATACAGGGTATTCTGTAAGTATCAATATTTTCTATAAAAATGGCCGCCATTTTCAAACGGACAAAGATAAATGAGTTATGTTTTCACTAAATTGTTTGCCTAGTCTAGAGCTTTAAAATGATGCATAATACGACATATGTTTACATTTGAAAACTCTGAGATTCGAACCCATGACCCCCAGTTTCTTGAACACCCTGTATTTTAAAAATGTTAAAAATATTTTTACGTTGTTCCTTGGGTATGAATTATTGGGGAAAAGTTTTGTTTCATCTCTGTATGCCAAGCCATTCGTCTGTAATCTGTTTAGGACAGCTTAGAAGATTCACCCTGTATATACATTTTATCTGCTATAAGAACTGACATTATGATTTAAGAGAAATATAAACGAAACACATTAGGCCTACATTTATAATTTATCACAAAATATTAAGTAATTAGAATATGCATTTAACGGAAGAACTGAATGCAATTAACTTATTACTCAAAGTAAATAAAGGACGAAAAGCAAATGAAAATCAAGAACACTGAATCAATTGTGTATATATGTAATAAATTAACCATTGACGCTTACGTTTAGGGAACTACTAGAACGATTATACACTCGCTTACTTAATGCAATCCTCATTAAATGGTAGAATTAGAATATAACTGAATAATGTTCGTTATTACACACAAAGAACCCGGCAAATGTAGAAATTAAACCGATGTGATTGTTTTTATAAGGGTATCGCCATTCATTTTATCTTTTATTTTTTCAACTGATCTTTATGAAACATGGTATGTATGTTAAGGTAGAGAAGAGACCCATGTTAGGAAAAAAGTAATTTTAATTCTACTTAAAATTTCAAAATGCGGCAATTTTGATTTTGTAATTGTAAATTACTAAAAATATAGCTGATTTTATGAAATAACTAGCTGGCCCGACAGAGTCGTCTTGTCCTAATGTGGTTTTATGTCAATAGCTCGTTCATTTTCAAGATGAGTTCGTTCGCATGGCTCAATCACGTCCTGGTTGAAGTTCTTTCGCTACGCACCCTCACCTTTAGGTTGGAGCTTGTTCGCTGCGCTCACTTGCCTTCAGCTTAGCTCGTTCGCTACGCTAACTCGCCT